TGGGGAAAAAAAAAGCCTAAGTATCGAGTTATAATTAAGACTAGAGATTAATTAGCTCTAATACGTAGAATTAATAATATTATCATCCTTCATAATTGTGAATAATTTAAGGCCTTTGCCATAAGAAATATTTTTTGAAGCCAAGATAGTCAAAAGATGCACTAATTGATGAGTATTAATTATGTGCCTGTATATATATAATAATTTGATATAATTAAGATTATTGTCATGCTTAGCGGCGTTTAGGTGATAAAGCAAAATATCCATTATTTAAAAAAGACGATAATGCAAAATATCACATAAAGGTACGTGAAACAAATTTGCTCATTTTGTCAAAATAAGAACAAAAGTGCATTTATGTTTTTGGCTTTTTCTAAACCCACGATGATACACGCACACTGCCTTAGAAAAAGAGAAGATATGTGTGGAAAAAAAAGGTAAATTTTCTTCTTCCCTTTTGATTAATCGTAATTCATAAAATGTTATATTAATTCCAAGTAATTACATGATTTAATTAACCTAATAATGTATTATTCAAATGCTAACATGTTTTTGCACCATCCATCAACGAATTTATGTATGTCTTAAGTTTCAATCTTGATAAAATAATTCGATGGAAAAAAAAAGAAAGATAAAATCATTCATGTTAAGAGCCACATAATACTTAGATTCAACATGACTTTAATCTAGATTAGTTAGTAGTAAATTTATTAAATTATGAGAGAGGGTAAATTAGATAATATGCAATCATCGGGAAAAAAAAAAGAAGATGATTGATAAAAACATTTAATAAAGTTATTGAACCGTACTTATTGATTAATAATATATTAAGAGATTTGACTATTGATAGATAGATCATAGAGCACAATTATACCGATCCATATAGCCCAACCAATATATACTCAAATAATTAAAATTGTATAAATATGAGTTGATTGATTTTGGATTAGTTAGGTCAAATTTCATTATTTATCAACAAATTAAACATACACGCTTAGGCACATATATCCATGCATACTATTGTTTGTTTTATATATGTGCACCATTATGTCATCGTCCCAATAGCGTTAAAGCCACAAATTTAGGGATTCATGTCCCAACAATACTTTAAAGCTCCTGTGTATATTTTAATTATAGGACATCGACATCTTAAATTCTATTTTTAAGCTAAACATATACTTATAAAAAATGTATTAAATGATTAGATAAATATAAAGTGACACTTGAAAAAAAAAGCACATTCAAAAATTTTATGCTTATATTTTGAACCGGAGAGAGTAGTTAATTATTTTCAAGAATTTTTTCAATTTTTTTGTCCATCATTTCTTCCAAAGTTTAAATATGTTATTTATGGAATTTTCAGTCAGAGAAGTTTTGATCAGATATTTGTGATTCATATATGTAGTAGCAAGTAATGTTAATTTTTGAATTTTTTTTACAATGACAGAATTAATGTTATTTCCTTGTTCTTTTAATACGATTCAATTTGAAGGTTAAAAAATATGGTTCAATTTATTAGGCCCGCCCTACACATTTTTCGGCATTTCCATCCAAACTAAAAGTTGATATCATTACATCAAGTTTAACAATATGTTAATCGGATGTCAAACTTAAATGTGAATGAAGATTTCGAGTAAATAAATAACTACCTAAGTCAACAAATGGTTAAGGATTATTATAAAAATTTTGATAGATAATGAGATAGAGAGGAGAAAAATCGCACCATATATATATATATTGAAAATAAAATAACAACATTGAATATTTGTTAATTAACACGATCAAATGGCAAAAAAAAAAAAAAGCGACCAAATTACAGCTTTTATTTTTCTTAGCAAAAAAAATTACAGCTTTTATTAAATTAGAGGAAGAAAGGGAAAATCAGGGATGAGCTCATAAGAAAAAAAAATTATAAGTATTTGCACATTTTGATTTATTTCTTAAACTAAGTATTTACACATAATGAGTGATATCTAGAGTTTAAAGCTAACTAAAAACGTCGGTGTCTAAATCATGACAACTATTTAATATTTAATAATTCATTAAATGAGAATAAGTCAAAGAATGAACTTTTTAATTATTTTATTGGGACCATTTCTCCACTAATTCAGTGATAGGGGGATTGAATATAAGCTTTTTCAGGAGCCTTTATTAGCTATAAAAACAGAATATGATCTCTCTATGTAGCTGGCTCAAAACAAAGAACAAAATGTGAGATTGAAGTTTCTTAGACCAGATTCAAAAATATAAAGTGATCCACCTCATAAAGTAGAATAAATAATTAAACATACTTACAAACACACACACAAACTATTTTTAACATCTGCATGTAAATGTAGTAAACAAGTTTCACAAAAAGAAAATATGGCATAATTAAATTGATTGTTTCAGACATACGTATATAGCATGCGACTTTTGCTTAATTTTTCGTAAAAACTAAAATTGTATATTTATGTGCATTTACCTATATACATATATTCAAATAAAAGTAAGAGTTAGGAGAAGAAATAATGATTTAATTTGGCATTGAAATATTCGATTTGTTTGTGGTAGGCAGCAAGAATCAAATTCTATGAGCTACATACAACCTTCGAAAATGATGTCTACTATTTGAGTAATATTAATTAATTCTATGAAGTTTGATTTGCACTTTTGCGTTTTCAATTTTCCCATAGAATTTGGTCATAGTGTAGGCCTATCATTTCAAAACTTTTTGTTAATTTAAAGTAATTTTTATGAAGAACTGGCATCAAAATTGGAATTTCAATTTGCTTCCAACGATCCAAAGTTTAGATGCTTATAAAGTTTAGTCTCTCTATAAAATACTCCTTCGGTCCTTAATATAAGACCTAATTGTTGAGATAGTTTTGGTCCTAAATATAAGACCCATTTCTCATATTTATTAATTTTCTCTAAATTACTCCTATGGATACTCTCTTAACCATAATTAAGTAGAAGAGGAAGAGGGGGTATTAAGTAAGATGATTATGGTATTTTAGGAAAAACATATCACATTTTTTATAATTAACTAACTTACCTAACTTCCTTAATCTAATCAAATTAGTTAAATGGGTCTTATATTAAGGACCGGATGAGTAATACAATAGAGCTAATTTAGCTGTAGATGTAGACTATTAGCGCCATTTATTTCTAATTATCTAACATTCGGTGCTACCAATTAATCTAAATTGCGGATTTTAATAACAGAAACATATAGGGGCTCTCTTGGCAAGAATTTTTCTATTTATGATGCTCAAATTCAAAATCTTATTTTAAAGTTTTTTTTTTAACCCACACATCCATTATATCCACAGAAAGTTTGAATTCACAATTTCGTATTTAACAAAAATTTAAGAAAGTGTTTAGTGTTATTGAGTTATAAGATTTTAACTACTTGAAGATCGTATTTAGTTTACCATAACTTTATCTAACTCTTATTGGTTATAATATAAATATATTCCTTCTCGTTATCATCTTATTACAATTATGACTATTTTTTTTAGTTATACAAATTATGAATTATGGTTGGAGAGGTTGTTCTATTAGATATATACTTCTCTCCCAAAACGTTAATGTATTACTAATTGGTCATATGTGGGCTTAAATGATAAAACTTGCAAGATATTTCGTTATATTAATCCTCGAAAGAAATAAGAAAATAAAAATAAAAATGAGAGAAACAAAAAATATACTTTAGTAAAGCATGTGTAGACTACATGTGTATTGTTTCAACAAAATGGTACTCATAAAAGGCAGAATAGTCTTTTTGCCAATTGATATATATTTCACTTAAGTCCAACGGGGAATCATACATTCCCAACTCATTACTAATTTTCTTTCATAAAAAGCTCAACTTTACATTATAGATTTAGACATACCTACATAATTTTCATGTTAACAATAAGACGGAAGATTCTTTGTTTTCTATGTGTAAAATTTAAAATGAATCATATTATTTATGATTCAAAAATAATTCAAAAGAATACATATTATCTCTTGTCATAATTATAAGACCTCATTTGTATACTACAAATGATGTCTTATAAGTAAAACCGAAGGTAGTACATCTTGTGGTTTTTTTAATCTTAAAAAAAGCATTTGGTGTATAAAATGGAATGGGGGGGGGGAACAGAAGTGAAAAAGTAATCTAGCCTCAAAAACTGTACTTTTTACTTATCATACGAAAATAGTAATTGAAAAGTCATGAAGATTTTGGCTAAAAAAAAAAAAGTAATGAAGGTAAAAATATAACACTAACAACAGATTGGATTAAGTGAAAGATAATTATAAGGTTGAAGAATTAAACCTTATGAATTAAACAATTTATGTTGAAAGATTACATCTAATAATACTTGAACATATTACGTAATTTGCACTACAAATTAGATCTTATATTTAGGATAAGAGATGGTATAATTATATTTAAAAGTAAAAATATAATATAATAAATATTACAAATATCCATCTGGTTTATAATAGAAAGGCTTTCATTTTTTTTCCCCTTTAATGCCCTTTTCAATGATACTACTAATTATATATATCGTCATTCACTGATTTCAATATTTGAGTATTTAAATTTTTTTGGTGAGAACATTATTGACAAGCTTCAGAAAGTTACTTAACTTTTAACTAAATTTTTTAATTTGTATGAAGTGGTTAAGGTCCATAATAAAGAGAAGAGATATACAATTATCTTTTATATATATAATTAGATAAATTTCTTCATTAGCAAGAAAGAATTGGAATTCTCTTTATAGGATGTATCAGCCTTATACTTTTTTTGACCAACCAATCTTCTACATGACAATTTGCATCACGTTATTTTTTTATTATAAAAAGAGAATATGTTTAAAACCCATTGATTGATGAGTTGTATTGCTCTCATCTTTTATAGCTTCAACCATAAAATTATAATCACTTTCTATAATCATTCTTCTAAACTCAAATCTCCAAGAGGTTATAAATTAACCACCTCTCGAACAAATAATTAAGATAAAAAAATATTAATTATTTTAACCATAATCAATTTACCCACATTAAAATTACTTGATCATGGCATCAAATTGCACCGTTACATTATGGAACAAGCATTTACATTATCATCACTGAAGAAGGACATGACTTGCTCCTCCGCCGTGTTTGATGCCGCGGCCGACGGGGTCACGATATTGACGTTCCGGACATAGCCGGCCGGCGCCCTCTTGTCGTAGACACCGGAAACATAAGGAAAATGGACAAGATGTTGAGGAACATAAGGCCAAAACTCAGCTCTTTTCTTGCCAGTTCTCCTAATCCTCTTTAACACCTTGTTTGGATCCACATATCCACTCACTGTCACACGGCTTTCTTTTCTGTTCACCTCCACAGATTTCACCCCTACGTACAATAAAACAAGATAAAAAAAAATAAATTAATTTTGTTAAAATTGTATAGGAGAGAATGGATAAATTATACATATATAGTAAAAGTTAATTACAGGTTTTAAAGAATGAACACTTGAAAATTTTGTAATATGTTTCCTGATTTGCATACACTAATATTCTATATAACCATAGTGATAATTTAAAAGTATATCTCAATATTGTAAATCACTTGTTCTGGTAGTTTACAAAAGGATAATATACAAAGGGAAGGTCATTAACATTTGTACATAATTAGAAGTTGTTCCATTTAACCCTGCTTCATGCTCAGTAGAGAGAGAAAGGGAGGAGAGAGAGACCTTTCATGCGAGTGACAGCATTTCTAACTCTTCGTTCGCAGCCATCACAGTCCATTTTAACTTTGATCTCAACAGTCTGATGAAACCAAAAAGAAAGAACCAACAATATTCAGAAACAGCCATATTTGAAAAAACCAGAGGAGGAAGAAGAAGAAGAAGATATATATATATATATATATATATATATAAAGAACCTGCATTGGTTTGCGCCTGGGCCTGGTGACTCTTACATCAGTGCAAAAGTTCGAGAGGTAATCGAGTGCCCCCATTTTCCCTTTGTGAGAGAGAGAGAGAGAGAGAGAGAGCACTCACAGATCACATTTCAGTGTGGGGCGTACCTAGCGATCTTTATATAGCACCTTTGCCTCATAAAGTTTGGGACACACCATGTTTGATTATATTCTTTAACCCACTTACATCTTTGTATGATTAGTTTATATATAACAGTTTCCTTGAGTAAATGAAAATTGGACTAATCATTAAGGACTTATTTGGAATAATGTTAAAAAACATTTATAAATATATTTCACGTAAATCGAGACATAATTCGTTTAGTATATTCTGTAAATCATGATTGAAAAGTTACTTATAAGCTATTCAAAATAAACTTCTAAATTGATTGAAACAGTGATTTAAGGGGTACATATATAAGTTGAATTGGGGTCATCCCAATTATAATTATAGTATAATTTAATTAAAATATAAAAATATATTTATATACGACCTTGAAAAATTCGATATTGAAATAAAATAGGTATTAATGCACAAGTTAATGGAACATTTTATAAACTATATATAATCCAACAAAATAAAGTAATTAAAGTATGAAGTTGATATACTACTATTATTTTAAACTTAAAATGACGTCTTTTTAGGATTAGTAAGAACAGAAAAAAAAATATAAAGTTAAAATCAATCCGGTTGAACCTTCTAAATTGTTGACTAAAATAGTCAAGGCATTGGTTCATTAGTTTGATTGGCCGATCTTAATTACATTTTATAATTTATTGATTGTGCTGCTTTCATGATTATATAAATTTAATATGAAAAATACTTGGGTCAAGTTATTTATATTTATTGTATCAAGTTTTCCAATTACACATAGTTATATATATATATATATTTTCATGTGAGTTTATAATTAAATATTGTTAAATGCTAATATTTAAAAAATAGAATATATGATTATGCATGATTGAAAAACTTGACATAATAGATATACAAAATTTGACATGCCAATTCAATAACAAGTCACGAGCTGATAAATAATGCTTTTTTGCTCCTCTTATTTTTTTCCTTACATGTTTGCTTTTATTTTTTAATTACTCATAGTAATATTTTTTCCATCATTTTCTGTGCTTCTTCCAATCTTCAAGCATTTTAAATAAGTTATCTTTCCTAAATTATTATATGTCCTTTATATAGTTCGGGGGAAAAATACAGACATGGTGTAAATCATCATTTTATGATTTAAATTCTTGTAAGAAAAAATTCCCTATATTAATTATATTATAATTTTTTTAAAAAAAGGTTGATGACAGAACATAAAGAACTACTTTAAGCATGCAGAATATAATAATATGTTTATGCAAGAAAGTTTTCTCTAATTTTACATCTGTATCCTCTAAGTTATGCAAGCTTATTAATAGATTTAGGAATCATTGTGGAAAAGGAGCAACTTTACTCTCTAGTGCACACACTTTTAAATTCTACTTGTTTTTAAACATATTAAAATAAAATAATAGAATTGTACATTTATTATATTAAATTTAAATAATTCAAATGTTGCTCGATAAAGATAAAATCATCTATTACATATATTCCAAGCATCAAATTATGTATCTAACTGGATATTGAAATTTTCAAGTTGTAAAAGTATATATGAGGATTTTTTTTTTACCAGCAGTATAAGGATTCATGGACTGAATCAAATGATTTAAAATTGAAAAAAAAAAATCTACCAAAAGGATTAGTCATTAACATATACAAATCTCAACACTAGAAATAAATCACAAAACATCAATTTTAATTTTCTTTTGGTTCAAACTTCAAACTCAACTTTAATTTGAAACTTGTGCATTTAGAAAATTTTTACTAAGAAGATTCTACACCCATAAGGTTTGACTAGACTTAATCTGAAATAGTCAAAGTCTAATGTGAGCTTCGAAAGCCAATTGATATTTAAAAAAAAATAAAAGAAAAATTAAAAGGGCTTAGTGCATATTTGTGGGGAAAAAAGCAATGTTACAAAAATTTAAATTAATAGAAATATATAAAGCAAAAATGATGAATCTCCGGAAGTATGGTAACTTTTCACATAATGAGGAATTGAATATAATGAGGATGGGGCTTTGTTGTTACTCTTTATAGTATTATTCTTGATTGTACGTATATTAAATTTTCAAAAGGTTTTTTGTGTTTTTCTTTTCATTTCGTTCATTCAATAATGTCACTTTCTTTCTTTTTCAATAATTCACCATATAATAAGTTTATCATGGCCGTCCATTATCTGTGCTGTGTGTATATCCTCAAAGCCCTCTATCTTACTCAGCAATAATTTCAAGATGAGCTTTATTTGGTTCATAAAATATTATACTCCTTCGTTTCTTATTATAAAAGCTTATTTGACTTTCAATTTGATCTTAAATATTAGACCACAATCCACTTTGTCATTCATATTTATTCATTTTTCTAAAATAGTCCTTATAGTAGTTGTACATGTTAAATGTTTCATCAAATAGTAATTGTAGCTAATATTTATAATCAGCAAGAGTATTTTAGGGAAAAAAATATCTATTTATAATAAATAATTAACTTGACTAATTTTCTTAATCTCCTCAAGTTAGTCAACTAGGTCTTATTTAAGAATAGGAGGTAGTAGTTAATTTTTTCATGTAATTATACTTCTTTGTAAATAAATTCAACAGACAAATACGGTTGAATCTAAGCTGGAGGTTTTTTTTTAATATTTAACATCCCATAAAACAAAATTTTGCAACGAACCCCTGTAAATAGAAAGAAAATTACATTCAGTTTTTTTTTTTAAAAAAAAACTGTTGAAAAATTCTGTTTGGAGGTTTTATTGACTAGAAGTACATAATATGTTTTTACACAGTAAGTATCGATTCTTTACAAGATTTCATATATAGAAAGTACCAATACTTGAATTTAGACCTTTTAACCAATAAAATTTTCAAAGACTTTTCACTGATTTGTTTTAATTTTTGGAACCCAACATAATTTGATTTGATTTAAAAAAACAGAGAGAAAATGCTTAGTAGTGGGAAAGATTCATTATTCTGTTACCAACTTATAGTATAAAGACAGTATTAGAAGTAAGAATAAAGAAACAAGAATTTCTCAAAACTCCACAAGACACACAAAAATCTGAAGAAACACCGTCCAATGATCACAATATAATTCCTTGTTGACTTTCTATGGCCTTCATGCATTTTCTGGAACCCTTTTTTTGGGGCCAAAGTCTGTAGAGAGATATTCAGATTCTTTCAAACTAATTTCCATTTTTGAAAATTGCTCTGTCATTTTCACTTTCCCATCATTTTTTTTAACTTGTTCTGTCACATTACTTGGTTCTCAATTAATTTCTATATGCGACCCTATATCTATGATTCAACTTTTTTTTTGTTGTCAAAAAGAGAATTTCAGTATCAACTTGATTATTATACACGTTATTTATTATTTGATTTTGTATAAAATGCAATGTGAAATGTTGACTTATAAATTGCATTGTGAATATTGTGAAACCTACGAATATGATAAATTATAAAATAATATTTCAAAAAATTAATATAAAAAACAAATTGTATGGTCTAAAATAAGTTAGATTCAAGGAACTCTACCACCATTCATAAGCTAATGAGCTTCTAGAAAATGATGCCATGATTAATGAATAATGATAGATGATGAATTAATGCTGAGTTTTTAGAAAATAATGATACATGCATTTACTAGTGTTTATATAATTATACCCCCTAATTTCTTGTTCATAGCCACAAATAATCATATATAATGTGGAAGTGTTAAAATCAATACAATATAAAGCAATAGACTGAATAAATATTATTATTTTATTATTAATGATTATTTGAAGCTTTTTTTTTTGATACATTTATATGATATATGTTACTATTGAATCAATTTAAATATTATTAGGCCTATATGAAACAACTCCTTCAAAGAGGTCTTTCACATTCACATAAATTTGTGATTAAGTGACCATCACTCTTTTTATTAGAATAATTACCTATTACTTGTCTTAACTTTTTAAACCTTGTTTAAAAAGAAAATTTATGGATACTATTACAAATGCATGAAATTTAGTGAAATATAATTACATTTATATATTATTATAATAAGAAACTTTTGAATTTTTAAATTCAACTGGGACAAAAATAATATTAAAAACTTTTGAACAGAGAGAAATCTTTCAACAAGTTGGGGATTTTAATTCCGTGGCAAATAAAGTTCAAGAACCAAAAGAAATTTAGTCAAATTTTTTAAAAACCAAAAACAATTTTACCGCCAGCGAGGGTGACCACACAACTAAAAGCAAGCTTTTACGACAAGGTAATAATAATAAAAGTAAATCCCCTGAGAAAAACTCATGGTTCATTGATGGCCATTGAAAAAATAGTAACAGCATTTGAATCATACAAAATTAGTAATAACAAAAACCTTGAATCAAGTAAAACTCAAAAGAATTGATTTCTTAAACAGCTGGAGAACTATATTAAAATCTTCCCTCTGTGTTACGATTAGATGGCCTCTTTTAATCTCTTCAATTTCTGTCCCCGTAATCCATTCCAGAAAGCATCTGCCTTTACCACCTTTTTCCCTGGAAGCTGAACTTCTAATACCTGATAGTGTAACAATACTATAATCAGAAAACATAATGATTTGAAGTAACACTGAACTAGCAACCCCTTATATATTTGTTGGGAAGAGAAAGAAGGAAGAAACATAACTAATATCCTGGCACATGAAAATCACGTGACTCTCAATATCTCTCAATGACAGGCCTAAAAACCTATTAAAACAGAAATCTGATTCTTTTTTTTTTTTTTTTGCCCTTCAAATTCAGTATGGCCGTGTTTTCTAAGAACGATGACAAGCCTGGCAAAACGATGAGCCTTGCGCAGATGACACAAACAAATGCAATCCAAACATGAAATGAAAATGCTGAGCCATTCAGGAATAAGATATCCCAGGACTCAAACAACTAAAATATTTCCAAATGACTAGTGAATTTGAGATTTCAGACTATGTTCCAGTTTAAAACCCTAAACCCTATACTATAAGCACATCAATATAAATACCACTATAAATATATCATCTCCTAATAGTCATCTAAAGTTCCTTGGATACTGGATAACTTTCAGGATTGCCATGAAACATGCCATTTGTCTCCAATCTCCATCTCCAATTCAGGGGGATAAATACTGAATAATTATAACAATGTTTCTAGGACTTGGTTTGCTGAGGATTTAGGAAAAGTTACTCCTCAGACTTTGGCAGGCATGATTTAATTTCAAACAGATGTTATACCATTAAAAAAAAAAGTGACAAATAGACCTTAATAAAACTTCATGATTGATGGTAAAAAGTAAAGATAAAGAACAAACCTCCAGTGCTGTGCCCTCAGCACAAGGAAACACCAATGCATCCTTGGCAAATGTAATATCATCTCCTTCTTTGGGAAGTACACTTCTGTGAATACCAACTCGTGTGGTTATATTTTAAGTTCCAGTGTTTTCTGCTCCCCATTTTTCTCAACTAACACCTTTGCTCGAGTTCCTGGCCACCCTGCAAAAGCACGAACCTAGAATTTTTCTACGTCATAACTTCACAGTTCAAATAAAATCAGGAAGCTCACCTTATTATGTAGAACTAGTGCTTCTTGATCAAAGGATAACCAAGACTCCTCTGGATTTATCTGCATAAAGCACCGATGCTTAGAAATAATTCCCAGTTATGAAGATGTTTCACCAACTGTATACACTAGAAGCAACAGAAAGCAACGGAATAGACTCCCCTAAACCTTCAATGCTTTAACGTGGTCTTATATTGCAGCTAACAGCTGGAGGCAATTAAGTAAATTATTTATAAAAAATACCCAAAAAAAAAAGAAGTAATATTAACAAGGAAATAGCCAACAAAGGAGCTCATAATCATCAGTCTTTATTAGTAATGGAGTGCTAAAGGAAGACTTGAAGCACAAACAAACTTAAATTCAATTCATCTAATTTCATGTGATACTAAACAGATAATTGATGTCCATGTCAATTGGTGAATAATTTTTCAATTGATGATTTATTTTTGCACCAGTAAACATACATTGCCTGAAATAAATATTCAGATACACTATGCTTTTAAGTCTAAAGCAATATGTAGCAGATTGCTAAAAGCATCTGATGAAACTAGTATCAAATATCAATAGGAGAATTCATTTCCATCGCCATGGCCAAGGGGCACAATTCAAGCCAACTGTACCTTTGGAGCCAATGTAGCCTTATTGTGATCTTGAGGTTGAGCTTTCACCCTTGCAGATCCATCAAATATGGAAGCAAGTTCACGGACAAGAAGTTTTGATCCTGCCTTATCAAAGATCCAGAACTCGTTAATTGATGAAAGTAAAACTATATCAGGCATAGGGACTGCAAATAGCCTACCACATCATGGGAGAGAAACAGGTAGATAAATAAAAAAGTAGCCCCAATTATATAGACATGAGAACTGCGGGAGAAAATCATACCTTCAAAAAACAGCTGAGAAAGCAAATCAGGCGCCTGCAAAGATGTCTAAAGATTAGTCAGTGGAGGAGAGAAAGGACTATAGTTTCACCAAACAAGTGTGTTGTGAGAAAGTTATGGAGGGAGAAATTTATGGTGAGGGCAATTCTTGATGAGTAAAACATTCTAGCCAATATTGTACCCTAAATAGTAAATACAAATACAAGCACTAATCTGAGTAAATGATGCAAATATTTTGGACGACTACATCTTAAGTGGAACAAAGAGAAACACATACCTTAATTTGATCATCAACTTCAAAACCGTTCATTAGCAATGATTGGTCCAGCATCAAGTTCACGAACAGTGAATGCTAATGACACTCCTGTTTCTTTGACACCATCCTAATATAGAAATAACAATGATAAAATGATGTCCACCAAAAAGAAAAAAAAGAAGAAAGATAAAATGATGAGA